TCCCTGCCTAAAAACGGGCTGGAAAAAGGCTAAAAGCATCAAAATGCAGCGAGGGGGTGATGTGCACCCACGTCGTGGGGGGCAAGGGGCAAAAGAGGGGGTGCACAGGCGGGATGGGGGTCCGGTGCGGCCAAACAGCACGGGGAGGGGAGCTCCAGGGTGAGGACGATGGTGGTGATGATGATGGTGGTGGTGGTGACGATGATGACAATGACGGTGACGGTAGCGGTGGCGACGGTGATGACGATGAGGATAGCGGTGATTTATTTATCTACCCCCCCCCCAGACCTACAACACCAACGCGCAGGTGCCCGACAGCGCGGGCACGGCCACCGCCTACCTCTGCGGCGTCAAAGCCAACGAGGGGACGGTGGGCGTCAGCGCCGGCGTCACCCGCGACCGCTGCAACACCACCAAGGGCCAGGAGGTGACCTCCATCCTCCGCTGGGCCAAGGATGGAGGTGAGGGGCTGGTGGGTGCTGGGCTGGGGGTAAAGCAGTGGCTTTTGGGGGTGTTCCCACCGTTGCCCCCTGAATTCGTGGTGCAGGCAAGGCGGTGGGCATCGTCACCACCACGCGGGTGACCCACGCAACGCCCAGCGCTGCCTACGCCCACTCCGCCAACCGCGACTGGTACTCGGATGGAGAGATGCCCCCGGATGCGCTGGAGGGCGGCTGCAAGGACATCGCCCGGCAGCTGGTGGAGAACATCCCCGACATCGAGGTAAGGATGGGGACGGGGCCACGGGGGACGTGGGCTGGGGCCACGGGGGACGGGAACAGGACCACCCAGGGATGAGGACGGGGCCACGGGTAGGGGTGGGACCAGGACCACCCATGGGTGCAGGGCTGGGACCACCAGTGGGTGAAGAGTCAGGATCCCCAGGAGATGTTGGACTGGGACCACTGATGGATGCAGGGCTGGGACCCCCAGCAGATGTGGGACCAGGACCACCCATGGGCGCAGAGCCAGAACCCCCAGCAGATGCGGGACCAGGACCACGCATGGGTGGGCTACCAGGACTGCCGGGTGGCTGTGGGACCAGGACCCCCACCAGACGTAGGGCTGGGACCACAAGCACGTACAGGAGCAGCCCCCCAAATCCCGCTGAGCCCCCTCCTCCCGCCCATACCCAAACCCCTCCATTTTCCCCCCGGTTCTGCCCCTTGCTGCGGATTTACGCAGAAATTCAGCCCTGTAAATAAATACTCTTCTGTCCTTCAAAATAGCCCCAAAGCAAAACATTTCAGCCTGTTATTTAGCTCTTTAATAGCCTCTTCTTCTGTTTTTTTTTCCCTTTAATATAATTTTAACTCTGTCCCAGGCTGGAAATAATTATATAGTGGGGAAAAGACATTTTTTTTTCCCTTTTTTTCGCTTAATAATTTTGGCGGTGGTGTTATGCAGCTTTATAATTCACCTCTCTGCCCAGAGAAAGGGGGGGAATAAAAAAAAAAAAAAGAAAAAAAATCTCTGCTCGGTTATAAATAACGGAGCGCAAATACATCGGGCTCCAAAGCAAACAGCGAGAGCTGCGGGATGGGGCTCCGTCCCGACGGGTTCACACGGGGACCCCGATGCGGAGCATCCCTCCCACAGACGCGAAAAAAAAATGAAGAAAAAGGCCAGATTTGCTGCTGGAAATGGTTATTTTTGTCCTGGGTTTGAATTCATAGGATGAGATTCAGGGTTATTTCGAGCGAGGTGAAATTCCTCGGGTGTTTTCGCCTGCATTTTTGCGCAACGCCAGGGTTTTCCTGGACATCCCGCTCCGCCTCGTCGGGTTTCCCCCCCCATTAAACCCAAACTGGGGGGAAAAAATTAAAAACTAATGAAAAATCATTTTTAAAATGCATTTTCCCCCCCTTTCGCAGGTGATCTTGGGCGGTGGGCGAAAATATATGTTCCCCAAAAACGCCAGTGACGTGGAGTATCCCCATGAGGACAAGCATCGGGGGACCCGCCTGGACCGCAGGGACCTCGTCCAGGCGTGGCACGACGCCAAGCCCCCCGGCAAGGTGACAAGGACTTTTTTTGGGACACACACACACACACATCACCCCACGGTCACCTTACAAAGCCATTCCCAGGGTGGGGGGAATATTTTGGGGAGCGGGGTATAAAGCAGCCCTGGGGGTGGCAGAGGTGATAGGGAGGTGACAACCTGCCTGTCCCCAGGTCGCCAAGTACGTGTGGCACCGGCGGGACCTGCTGGCGCTCAACCTCAGCCGCGTCGACTTCCTCCTGGGTGAGTCCCGGCACCCAAGGGTGCCCCGGCCTCAACCGGGTGCTTTGGGGGACCCCTGGCCCGTGTCCCAGGGTGCTGGGGCAGCTGCAGTGGCCAGTTACCCCCTGGGGATGCTGCTACCCTGAAGGGATGGTGGTGTCCCCCCAAGGGATGCTGCTACCCGCCCCCAGGGATGCTGGTACCTCCAAGGGTACCCCCAAGGGATGCTGATACCCCCCCCAGGGATGCTGCGACTCCTCTGGGGATGCTGGTACCCCGAAGGGATGCTGCCACTCCCCCCCAGGGAGGCTGGTACCCCAAAGGGATGCTGGTACCTCCCCCAGGGATGCTGGTACCCTGAAGGGATGGTGGTGTCCCCCCAAGGGATTTTCACCCCCTGGGGATGCAACTTTGTTTGGCTGCAATTCTCCAGCCCAGCTGGGCTGCAGGATCTGGCCGGGCCGGAGGAAGGAAGGGCTGGGAGCATCCCCACGGCTCCTATCTAATCACCCTGGATCCGGTGGCGGGTGAAACGCTTGAACCAGCACAAGAAGCAGGTGGCGGGGCTGGATTGGGCCCCTTTGGTTTGTTGGGTTTTTTGGTGGGGGAAGGACGTCCCCAGCAGTGTCACTGTCCCCAGGCCTCTTCGAGCCGGGTGACATGGTGTACGAGCTGGATAGGAATAACGAGACGGATCCGTCCCTCACCGAGATGGTGGCTGTGGCCATCAGGATGCTCCAGAAAAATCCCCGGGGGTTTTTCCTCCTGGTTGAAGGTGGGGGAGAAAAGGGGGGTGG